CGAGAGTGTGAGAACTGCGAGAGTGTGAGAACTCTCACGAGAGTGTGAGAACTGTATGTCATCTTTTGGAACTGATCTGTGATGATTTTATGCTTCTACACTATATGTTTTTGTACTATATGTTTCTGTTCTCATTTTAGTTTTGTTGCAAATAGTTTTACCAAACAGAGGTAGGAATGTTATCTATACAACAATAATTACCAATAAGCTATTCTGAATAAGCTGTCTCAAACAACAAACCGACTTATTCTAATAATCTCCAGATTATCAGATTATCAGAATAATCTGCTTATCGTCAGATTATAAATAATCAACAGCTGCCCCAAACAGACCCTAAGACTAGCAAAGAAATGATTTGACTACAAAGTTTTATGCGAGGTACAAGAGATTAGAAAGCTTTATAGTGACAATATGAGTGCTATTCTTCTAGTTAAGGATGCCATTTTTATGCCATGACAAAGCTCATTCAGCTGAGGTATCATTTTATGCGTTCACTCCTAGAAGATGGTCAGTTAACTGCTTATGGAATTTTGATATGCTTTTCCCTAGAAAATAGAGCTCTAGCTTCTCATTAAGGTTCTTTCTTTGGGTGCTCCATAGGATCATGTGTTTGCAAATTGCAAGATATTTATAGTCCAAGTTAGGGTAGTTTTTTGTGCAAAATTAGTTGATAAAATGAGGATTATTTATGATAGATTTAACATTTTTATCTCTATCATTATCTTGCGAGCATCTTTGTTATCCGAGATGGGCGAAATCTTTGTGTACAATGGGAACTTGTTTTTGAATGCTTGTGAAGCAAACAACTATTTTGGATTGCAGTCATGTCGGCTTATTTTGCATCCTATAGTGATGAGATTCTTGGTACTTTTTTGGCTCTGAGTGAACCTTGGGAAGGGGCTGATTTATAACCCATATTAGTTCACTTTTATTTCAACTGATATTTTTGTCAAAACTAACATTTGAAACAAAATCATTATTTCTGTTCATGCATCTTCATCTCCTTTCATCATCATTAGTTATTTGATAAAACTATGTGTCTTCGATCCACATTTTACGGCGCAGAAAAAATAGAAAGCTTGATGATGTCTTATTTGCTCCAACTCTTGTAACACCATTATTTGCTTCATTAGTGGTTATTATCCTAACTTCTTTGGCTTTATTAACACTCCCGTCAATGACTATTTCACCAGTGGTGACTCTACTATCTAGCTTGAGGGTCTAGTTCTATGATCAACGATATTTCAGGGGTTACTACTTCTTCCCTTTCTAGAAATAGTGCCATTGAAGTTACAAATCCTTTGACAGCAACTGTTCAGTTATGGATGAGGTTGGCTTCTTGAAGACGGTGGTTGAGAGTCACAGGGATGACTTTGTGAATCTTTAGAAGGCTATTCATGATAATTATTTGGGGCGTTTACATACTACCACTCCATTTTTATATATTTACATATATGACTCCTAAACTTTATTTTTTTTCATTTATAGCACCCAAATCTTTAATATCACATCAAAAATAAAACTATACATTCAACATAGTGCCACTTTGACTTTTAAAATGTGAAATACACATTTTCATACTTAGGTAAGAAGGCTTCTATATAAAAAATTAAATTTAGGTTCTAGATATGTAAATACATAGGAATTGAGAGGTATGCACGTAAATCTTTCTAATTACATCGCACAATCTTTGTATGATTTAGAGTGCATCTATCTCATATTCAAATAGTGAAAATACCACGGATTTTTTGACTGCATCGAACTCAATCAACGGTTTTCTCTACCTTCTGTGTTTGCAAAAGGTTACAGGGCTGAGTGCTTACGTTCTTTCTCAAATAATATTGGACTGCACTTTCATTTTGATGGACTGGTGGAGCGAATTGCTCTGCTTGCTAGGCTAGGCTATGCGAGTCCTTTTTCTTTATTGGATGATCTGGTTAGAGGTCTATGTTCCCGTCGAACGAGTTATAATGCTTTTATATGGTTTTTTGGCGAATGTAGAAAGAGAACCAGTGTTGATATTGATTGTGGTCTCTAAATCTCTGCCTCTATGTTTCAGGCAATTGTTGTTGCATTGGTTCCCAGGGTCACCGCTACAATCGCTTATTGAGTGTACTTGGGATAGAAAATAATTAGGATAGAATTTTCTCTGGGATATAACCTTATTTCTTTTTCATTTTCTTTCAAACTTCCATCATTATTTCCGCTGTGTAGCCAATTAGGATGAAATGACTTTACTATTGTAATTTTCTTTTCTAGAGCCTAATTCTTAACAATTAAACATATTATTCTGCATAACTCTTTAGTTTTTCATTCTTTGTGAGTCCAGCTCTTGTTTTGTATAATCAAATGGGAAGCTGCCAAAATTTATGCCTTGATAATATGCCGTCACAGTAACAAAAATCAATTTTTTTCTATACTAATACACTAGTCATAATGAGTAAATGGAATCAAATACGCATTATTGAAGATGGTGGTAGAGCAATTTAATTTTTTTTTTATTAGAAACAAGAGTTCAAAAAGTGCTTTTTAGAGGAAGATATTCAATATATGTGGGTGAGCTATTTTGATAAAATTTTTAATGAAGTTTTTGAAAATACGACCGACCTTAATGATCTTAATATCGTTAATAATAATTAAACGTTTTATTTTACCGTTGTATTAGTAAAAGAAATAGTTAAGGAGGCATTAAAGAAAATCAAGGATGGAAAATCTGTAGCACCATGATATCCCAATTGAAATGTAAAAATATTTAGGAGATTTGGGTATTTCTTGGCTTAGTAAACTCTTTAATATTATTTCAAAAACTAAAATGATATTTGAGGAGTGGGTCAAGAGTATTTTGGTCCCCATTTTTAAGAATAAAGGGGACGCACAAGTGCATCAATTATAAAGGAATTAAGTTGATGTATCATACTTTAAAGTTATAGAGGGTAATTAAACATAGGTTAAGTCGTGATGCCAAGATTTCTCATAATCAGTTTGAATTTATGTCGGGCAAGTCTTTTATGGAAGCTATACATTTATTTCGAGGTTTGATAGAGAAGTTCAGAGAGAATAAGTAGGGTCTACATATGATTTTTGTTTAATTTAGAAGAAAAAACTTATGATAAGGTTCCAAGAGATGTCCTTTGGCGAGTTCTAGAGAAGAAAGGTGTTCATATGACTTATGTTCAAGTTATTAAAGATATATACACTAGAGTTGTTACTTGTGTTCGAACAGAAGGAGGATTGACCAAGTATTTTCTTATTTTGGTTGGATTTCATCAGGGTTCGACTTTAAGCCCATATCCTTTTGCTTTAGTTATCAATGCTTTTATTGGAAATTTACAGGAGGATATACCTTGGTGTATGCTTTTCGTTGATGATATCCTTGTGGATATGACTAGGGAAAGAGTTCAAGAAAAAAATTGAATTATGGAAATCAATTTGATAGTCTAAAAGCTTTTATTTGAATAGACTAGAACTATATACATGAAATGCAATTTTCATAGTAGCAAATCTAGTGGCAGGGTTGTAACAATGGCTGATCAAGTCTCGAGTCTACTGTTGAAAATGACGGTGATATACATGGCGATGATTTAGTAGCATTCAAGTTGGATGGTTAAAGTAGAGGAATGTATCTGGCTATTGTGATTAGGCCTATTGTATGATAGAAAAGTATCGCGTAGAATGAAAGGAAAATTGTGTAAGATGGTGGTGAGACCTGTAATGCTCTATGACACTGAATGATGGTCTTTAAAAGAGAAGCATAAAACAAATTTAAGTGTTGCTAAGATAAGAGTGCTTCGGTGGATGAGTGGCTTGACACTTAGAGATAAAATGCGAAATGAATATATTTGTGATAGGGTTGGAGTGTGATAGGGTTGATGTTGCTCGTGGACAAGATTAGAGAGAGACGCCTCAGATGGTTTGGTCACATTAAACACCAACCACTAATGTTCTGGTTAGGAGAGTAGATGTTTTAGCTTCGACTTATGTTAAGAAAGACAGATGTAGTCCTAAAAAGACCTGGGCGTATTGTATAAAAAATGTTTTTAATTTATTAGAATGAAATGAAAAAAGGACATTCAATAGGACACAACGGAGTAAAAAGGATTCATGCAGCCGACCCACTTGGTGGGATTAAGGCGTGTTGTTGTTGCTGTTTTTGAGAAACCAGAGTTCAAACGTTTAAACTTAAAAAACTTGGTCTGGCTTGGTTTCTTTGAGAAATGTAAATAAAGTAACCAAGAGGGTTTGCTTGGGATCACTTTTATTTTTTGTTTTTTGTTTTTTTTTGTTTTTATTTTAAAAACATTTTTCTTTAGTGCATTTTATATGCTTTTATTTTTTATTTTCAAAACAAATTAATTTGTTTTTAAAAAAACCCTTTTTTAGCATTTCTAAAAACAACTAACCGGTTATAACATATCAAAAATGTTTTATTTTAAATAAAAATATAAAGACAAAAAATAAAAAAAAAAGTAAAAAGAAAAAAAAAAAAATCTAAAGTCATCCCAAACTGCCCCTAAACTCTCAGCTTAACTTGCGTTTTGCTCAAACCCACCCTACTTTATTAAACTTCATTTCTGGATATAATCATGTTAAGAATAGATGGGCTAATGCTATAAGAAAATTAGACTATGACCTTCTTGGACATAATATTGTTTGTGTTTGTATGTGTTTGTGTTACCATTTTAGGGCATTTACATACATACCACCCAATTCCTACTAATTTTCATATCTAACATCTAAATTTTACCATTTACATTTATACCACTGAAATATTTCACATCACATCAAATGTAACACCAAATTAGCTTTTAAAAAGTGAAATACACGTTTTCAATACATAGGAATTGAGTGGTATGTATGTAAATCTTCATACTATTTTTGTGGGTTTTGAAACCATCCCCTTTTTATTTAAATGACATCATGATTACTCCCACTAGTTTTTAAAATTTGGCTGTGTGACTTTTAAGTTGTTTTTGATACATTTTTCTTGTTCAATTTGCCAGATGTGTGATTTGCCGGTTGGATTACGCAGATGGCGACACTTTAGTTATGCTTTCATGCAAGCATAATTACCACACAGAATGCATAAATAATTGGCTTCAAATCAATAAGGTACTTTCTGTCTATTTATTTGTAATGCATATGCATTTTTGTATCTGAAATACGTGAGGCAATCGGACTAGATATGCCTGTGCTTTTAGGAATTTTGTTTTTACTGTCCAATTTGTTTTGGGGTATTTATGTATATATCACCCAATTTTTATATATTTACATATCTAACACCTAAACTTTACTTTTTTACATTTATGCCATGCAAATTTTTTAGATTTACATACGTACCACTCAATTTCTGTATTTGCATATCTAACATCTAAACATCAATTTTTACATATATACCACCGTACCTCTATTCATTAAAAGGTGTCTTTCACTTTTAAAATGTTATCAATGTGGTATTTTTGATGTGATGTTGAAGGTTTGGGCAGTATAATTTTAAAAAGCAAAATTTAGGTGTTAATGCGTAAATACATGGGCGTTAAATATGTAAATTCTATATACTCTATCACAATTGGAAAAATTTTAGTGGATGTTTTATTATGAATATATTCTGTTTCTCATATCACATTTTGATGAGCAACTCCATTCAAGCTATGATAAAAATGAAGACATTTAGGGTCTATTTGGGGCTGCTGCAGCTTATCTAGATAAGCTGCTGATCAACTGCTGATGTGGATAAACTGGTTGGTTGTTTGGTTTGCGTGTTTGGAAAACAACTAATTTGCAGCTGTTTCTGGATAAATGACCATTATGCCCCTGATCCAGATAAGCTGGCTAGCTATTTGGTTTGTGCTTTTAGAAAACAGTTGATTTGCAGTTGTTTGTGGATAAATGATCATTCTGTTTTTGTTTAGTAATGATGTTTGCAACAAAACTGTCATGACTATATATTTGATAGTTTAGAACGAAAAAACACTTATAACAGTACAAAAAAAGAAGTGACACTTCTCCGGATCGTCTACCCACCTGAAGAAGTCACGCTTCTCCGGAAGGTCTGCCTGCCGCGGGCACCTGTAGAATTCTCTCCTATAGCTATGTACCCGAAGTGACGTCAGCAATGAAGTTTGTACTCTATAGTGACAGAGCACTCGTGAGGAGGTCATTGAAATCCTGAAGCTCATCTTCCTTCAAAGATACAAGAGAACACTCATTAGTCATAACAGAGAGATGAAATTCGTTGGATAAATATACAACAAAATGGAAATAAATGGAAACCATATTGAATATACAAGTATAAATTAACCTAAAAAATAAGCGGGCGTGAGTGCTCAGAGAACTCACTACACCAACCAACGAATCTGTCACTACAAGAAGACAGTAGACCTTGTAAAAAAACATAGTTCTTGATTGCCTTTTACACACTTAAAACCAACCTCGCGTGTGTTACATATGCATATTACCAAAAATGGTCATCTAGAAGATCTTCGAAAACCATATTGTCGAAAATATAAGAGGAATTCGGTTGACTTCATGAGGATTTCACATGTGATACCAATCAACAACGACTGATAGACTATTCGAAGAACTCAAAAGGTCAAATGTCTCATCCTCGATCTCAGAAGGCCACAAAAAATAAAGAAAATGACGAAGAAACAATGCAAACTCGTGAAATTTACAAAACCAAAGAAAAAAGCAGGCATGAGGGCTCAGAGAACTCACCACAATAAGCAACGAATCAGTCACTACAAGAAGACAGTAGACATTGTAAAAAAAAAAGAATTCGGTTGCCTTTATTAAAATTTCACATGTGATACTAACCAACAATGCCTGACAACCCATCCGAAGAACCTAAAAGGTCAAACGTCTCATTGTCAACCTCACAAGCCTAAAAAAAGGGGGCAAAAGAATCTCTTTCAAATATGTGAATAATATAAAATTAAAAGTAACAATGATACAACAAACATAAAACAAAATTATTATTGAACCATGTGGAATGTCCTAGCTTCTCACCGACCCATTTATCACCAATGAAGGACGATGCCATGCATGGAGTTCGATTCATGATAGAGTGGTAGTATTCGTACAACATCATCATAATTGTCGCAATAATTCTCCTCCGACGAAGTCGCTGCCAATCCATTTTGCAAAATTGTTTTCTTAAGAGAAAATATAGAAAACTAAATAGTAATTGCTCCATATCAGAAATAACTACATGACAACATATTTTTATTCACAAAGGAAAGAAACAGGATTCGAATAAAAAAAAACTGCGGAAAAAAAAACAAGTCAACAAACAATGACATCACAAAATCATTTTTCCATAGACGAACATAAATATTGGACATGAATCTTGGAGCACAGTTTCATGAATCTGCCTGCGTGTTGGGTCCTCAAGTAACTTAATGGAGTTTATATACAGCGTCGTATCAGCCAAAACTTCAGGATGTGTATCTAAAACTCTAAGAAAGTTATCTATAGTGGTGTCAGTTAAAGGACTGGGTTGAGCTGCACATACTTAGCATCTTTTTTTTTTCCACCCTGGGCCGCTTTGATTGGCATTTGGACTCGATATCCCTGAAGTTTATGTGCGGTCCTTCACCTGACTCAGTAACCTGTTTGGCTACCAACTCATTTGGTATGCCTGTAAACCCCTGTTCACTTGGGTTGAACGAACACATGCCCGTCGTGACAATCCTTCTAAACATTAGGTTCTACTTATCATCCAGGTCTGGCCCAATGCCACTCACCTTGAATTTTTTTACGAGTGGGATTGCCTGTAAAGTTCGGAGAAACATATTAGTTAAAACGAAATAACATGGATGACGAACGAAAATACAAGCATTTAGAGATATACATATTACCTATAACTTCTCATTCTACAATTACCCTAAAGTATCAATGGTTTGTTTGATAGGATTCCAACCTAATTTTGTGGATCTCCATTTAAGTTCCTTCCATAACTTTCAAGTCCTTTTTTGACTGAACCACAGGTTCTTGAATTTTAGTCTGTCATACTCTCTTCCTGTCAGTTCTTTGAACCTCTTCTCAATATTCTGCCACTCATCATTGTTAAAGCACGTGGTTGGTCTATTTTTAAACTCAATCTCTTTAATACATAGGTTGCAAAATATGTATGTGACTTTCTTATCCCACATTGCCGATGAAGTCACTTCTTTGGTATTAACCATATTCAAACTAATAAACAAAACAAATCAAGAAAGATACTCATAATGACAGCAGAACAAAAAACATGATAAAAAATTAAGTGCCAAGAGAAATAAACTCCTAAAATTAAAAAAATTAAGCTGAAACATGAAAACAAAATTTTGAAGAAACAATAAGAAACCACAATCACCGAAAAGTACAAAGAGACACACACCCAAGTCAAACCACCATCACCAACACCCAACCATCAACACCAGCATCAACACCCAACAGTAGAGAGAGCTACACAATCAAGTCCAACCACCAACACCAACACTCAACCACCAGTACCAACACTAATCAGTGGAGAGAGCCACACACAACCAAGTCAAACCACCATCATTAACATCCAACCAGCAACACCTACACTAATCAGTAGAGAGAGAGCTAACCCCCAACCACCGTCACCAACACTAATAGTAGAGAGAGATAGACATACCCAAGTCAAAGCACCATCACCAACACCCAGCAGTAGAGAACAACGAGCCATTTTGACAACTCTATTGCTGGTGGTTGGGTGTTTTTGATGGTGGTTTGACAAGGTTGTGTGTCTCCGCGATGTTATCCATAGAATAACACCGAGTAACACTGCAGAATACCGCGATGTTATTTATGGCGTTATTGGTGTTATCGATGTTAATCCGCGACGTTACACCGCGGAATAACACTGAGTAATAACGTAATAACACCCGAATAACATCACGATGTTATTTTGCGGTGTTACTCAGTGTTATTCCGCGGAATAACACTGTGAATAACACCGCGGTGTTAGTATTATTCCGCGAAGAATGTTCTACCAAGTCTATTTCGAGTCGAACACAAACATAAATATGTTATTCGAGCTGAACACAAACACAATGTTCACGAACCATTTGGAACACGAGCCAAATTGGAACGAGCTGAACACGAGCCGAGGCTCAGCTCGCTCAAGCTCGGCTCGTTTACAACCCTAACTAGCACTGACACTACTCAGTAGAGAGAGACAGATGCGCCCAAGTCAAACCACCATTACCAACCCCCAATCACCACCACCTACACTAATCAGTAGAGAGAGCGCCAACCCCCAACCACAGGCACCAACAGTAATCAGTAGTGAGAGAGACATACACACCCTATTCAAACCACCATCACTAACCCCAAACCATCAACACCAACATAGAGACGGATACACACAAACAAGTCAAACCACCATCTCCAACACCCAACCACTAACATCAACACTAATCAGTGGAGAGAGCCACACCAGCTCCAACAACAACATCATACAGTAGAGAACCACACCAACACCAACAACAATACCATATGGTAGAGAGAACCGCAGCAGCACCAACAACAACACCTCACAACAACAACAATCTCAACTCCATATAAATTCCAAGTATTCAAGTGTCACAAGTTCAACAACCAACGAACCACACATTCACTAGCATTAAAACCCCACAACACTAGCGCCAACCTCAACACCATAACAAGTGTCACAAGTCCAGCCACTATAATAAAAGAAAGCAACAATTCGAACAGATCAGCCAAAACAAATATTCTTTGGCTGATCTGTGAACCAAAGAGCCAAATAACTCGCGAAAAATTGGCTGATATGTGCGAAAAATTGGCTGATATGTGAACCAGAGAGCCAAAAAATCACACAGTCACCAACTACCCCTCTCGCCTGTTCTGCTTCCTTCACATATAGCAATTGAAATAGATCTAAACTCATTGCTAATTCATTGCAAGATAGCTAACCGATCTCGCCATAAGCATCCATGAGAGAGAACAAAGCATGGTGGCATGGCTTATCCAAGCCAATAAACACATAAAACATACGTTGTGCCAAACACATTCAAAATGTCAAAAAATCGCAAATCGGGAATAAGCTGCTCCATACAGCCATAGGAACGCGTAACAAAGCACGA